GAGATCTTCCAGAGGCCAGATTAGCCAAATAAACGCTCTAGAAAGTAGCTGATGGAGTGAATATCCTCATAATGCAGAGAACTTGGATTCTTCAAAGAAATGAGCTATATCTGTGCTGCCTAAAGTTATTTGAGCAGATTCAGGGAACATAAATTGAGACTGTACAAGTAGCAGAGTAGAAGCCAAGAGTTGAGTATCAGAATCATGGCCATTTCTTCCTGTAACCACCCAGGAAATCTTTCAATAGTTTCTTTTTTTCTGATGTCCTCCACCTCCCAGAATGGCATCACCACTCATACTGACACATTATTCAGCTGCCTACTATTCTTTATTGATACTTCCCTCTCTCTGACAGATACTGACTCATGGTCACATCTGTGTAGAGTCAGCTCCTAGTTTCTTGTATTCTCCTACATCAGTCCTCTGCACTGACCCTAGTTTGCCTCAGTCTGTCTACCACTTACAAGTGCTCCTAAACCAGCCTTTCAATTTTATCTGGCCTCTATATCAAGCAAGTGAAGTTTTAAAATGTAAGCCAGTGTTTGCATTATAATTTTAATGCTTAAACATTTTTATTTAGATTTGGGAAGCATTTTTTATGATAATATGTGAGGTCATATAAGATTACTTTTCTCCTTGACTTCATTGATTCTTGTTCACAGCTTGGTTATTTTGGCTTTCTTCTGTGGACAAGCATAGCACTATTAGAAATATCACTTACTCAACTTTAAATGCCTCTTTTTCTGTCTTTTTTTTTCTTTTTCAGATTTTGTCACATTTAATTATTTTGCCATGTTGTTTCTTTTTCTCCTCCACATATCAACACAAGTATTACTTCTTAAAAAATCTCCATGATCACTTGTAATGGCAAGATACAATTGTAATAGATCATAAGAGAAACAACGACTTTCCTTTCTGAACATGTCTTTCTAAACAGAATTAAGCATTCATAAATGGTTGATTGTAATTGTCTCTCACTTTGGGGAAGTTCAAAGAGAGAAGAGTATATCATCTGCCAGTGTGATGGAGTGTGATAATACTCACCATATAATTTATGATTGCATGAGTAACATATAAATGTCTTTGAGTGACTCACACTTTAGATATTCTTCCAAACAATTTATTTGAAGAAGTTATAGATGAATTGGTCTCAACTTTTTTTCTAGTGATTTGATTTTTAGGTTAATACATGTTCTACCAAACAAATTGTACTGACAATAGGAAAAGTCAGATGTATCTCTGCCTTCTCACTTTATCTGAATGTAGAGGTGGGTTAACAGTAGATTTGGATTTCCCAAGTTAGCCAAGGAACCATATAAGCCAACTAAGACCAAGATGCTGTCAAGTGTTATCTTAGCGCCTGACACAGAATTGCATGTATAGTACTTTAAAAATCAATCTTTGGACTCTAGAAAGTTCACATCAATCTATTGTGAAAGCAAATGGATTACAAACAGCAAGAAAAAATTTTAGGCATAGTGAACATGCCCAGTATCTTACTAAATGACAGTTTGGTTGTTATACATTTATCAAAATTCCTCAAATACATACTTAAATTTTGTGGATATAATGCATCAGCCATGATTCAGTAAACTATAAAATTTCTTATATACCATGAAATGTCATCTACTCTACCTTTTAACAGTAGTGTCAATTCTAATCCATGAAGTAATTGCTATACTTCCAGTCTTTCGCACAATATTCATTATCATTTGAAAATGATAGCATACCATTATTTCCTGGTACTTTACCCAGGAAGCATTACCAATGTCTTTCATGAAAATCTCATAAGAGACAGTCAGAGACACATTGAAAATGGTGCTATAATGAAATCTGGGTCTTTTAAGGTAGATGTAGACCCTTATTAATATGCATGTGTGACAACTGAAAGATGTGACTTACAAACAGGCATTCTGACTGATATGCAGCCCTCCAAAAGTTGCCACAGTTACCTTGTTTGGAATTGCCATTCCTTTTTCTCCTTTACTACCTATCAGATCATTATTCCAGTACTGCTGCCTTTGAGAAGTGTATCTACAGAGCACAAGAGATGCTGTTCCGTATTTCACATTGCCATGATTGTCCTCATGGTTATGCTGTTCTGTGTGTGATTCCTTGATCAGACACTCACCCTTTGTATGGAGACTCTGAGCCACCTAAGAGTAACATTGGGCTTGAAGTAATGTTCACTTTAGCTCATAATGTGTTCCCTTTAAATTAACTTCCTATGGTTTCTATTTTTTCCTTAATGGTGGGTACAAGAAATATATGCTACTAGAGTCTGCTTTTACTGCTCACAACTTGGCAAGGAACTTTGAACAAAAGAGTCATGGTTACTGTCTCATTGGATTACATTTCTATTTTTTTAAAAAAATATTTTTAATATTTATTCTATTTATTTTCTGTTAAAAATATATTTCCAGCTGTATATGTATGGAAGGATGGCCTTGTTGAGCATAGGTGGGAGAGGAGATCCTTGATCCCTTGAAGGTTGGATGCCTCATGAGGGAAAATTCATGGGTATGGAGGTAGGAGTGGGCAGGTGGGTGGGGGCACATACACATAGAAGCAGGAGGAAAGGGGATGGGATAGGGAGTTCCTAGGTGGGTGGGGGGAAGAAATGGGATCACATCTGAAATGTAAATAAAATATCAAATAAAAAATTAAAAAATATTTTTTTGCTGGGTGATGTTGTTGCACACTTTTAATCCCAACACTTGTAAAACAGAAGCAGGAATATTTCTTATGAGTATGAGGCCAGCCTGGTGTACAAAGTGAGTTCCAGGACACCCAGGACTTCAAAGACAAACCCTAGCTATAAAAACAAACAATAAAGAGATAAAAAATTATTTCATTTTTTTCCTGATTATATTGGATTTACATCATTTGCCCCTTCCCTTTCCTGCATCAAAACCCTCTCATATTCACATCCTTGCTTTCTTGTAGGTTCATGGCCTCTTTTTTCATTAATTGTTACAGGCATACATATATGTGTATATACATGTGTATTTATTAAATATGTAAGTGCAACTATCTAATGAATAAATGAAATAAATCAAGTTTGAAGATCATGTTAAGAGATGAACTTGATAGACTGAAGTGAGACATCCCAAATGGCATAAGAAATACTATCCAGCAGATGTGATGTTACACACTAGAACCTATGGTGAGACTTCTGAGAAGCTAGTCTTAGAGAAAGGAGTAAAGAAATGAAAGCAAAGCCACATGGCACTATTGTATGACAATATGTTAAATAAGGGTGACAGCAAAGAACTTTCAATTGTGAAAAAGAACATTCTAGAAATAAATGCTTGAAAGTCCCTTCCATATACCTAGAGAAAAGGAGCAAAGGAAGGAGATATAGGAGAAGGGATGAAAAGTGGGCCGCTCTGGCAGGATTAATCACTGTGAGATAACTGAAACATAACTTTTTCCAAGGGAAAAAAAGATGGGGAGTGGTGGAAGGAATCGATACAATTTGAATTCTATTTAAATAGAAGCTTTCCTTCCACCTAGCACTTCCGTGAAGGGCATAATGCGGACTCCACCAACTGCGGAGTTAAGGCAGGAATTTGTGAGGTCAGAGTAACAGTGCTGTGAACCATGTCTACAGGATGCTGCAGATGCTGTGTTTACAGTTACATGTGTCTGTTTCTTTGGTGATCACCCAGTTTCTCTTCTTGTCTCTTGCTTGATCCCTGTTGAACATGAGGAGCCTCACTGTATCTTTTCAATCTCACAGTGATTATGAAGTTTAAGTGAGACCATATGCTCATAAAATGAAAAAAATCACAATTTATAGGAAAGAAAGCTTTGTTTTTCAAAAAAAATGTATTTACTGCCTGAGTACATGGGTATGATTGCAAGTTTGGAAAGATAACAGGAGAGGTTGAGAAAAGAAAATGTTCTATGAAAAACTGAGAATTGCTAGAGTTCTTGAACAGCAACTATGTAGCCCCTCTCCAAATCCAGCACACACACATACACAAGCACATACATACACACACACACACACACAGAGAGAGAGAGAGAGAGAGAGAGAGAGAGAGAGAGAGAGAGAGAGAATATAGAGGTTGCAACTCTGTGGAAAAAACACCTGCCTACATGTAAAATTCTCTAGGTTCCATGTATGCCACAGTACTATAAACAAATACTGCTAACCCCTTCCAAACAAAAACTCTGAAAAGAAATTTTAGAATCAGAGTTGTTAGAGAGAAGTATTCTAATAGTCAGATGCTGAGTTTAATATATATTTATGTAACTTGGTTAAGAAGGATATGATACTTGAAACTGACAGCATTCATCAAAATGCAAAGGGTAGACTATCCCAATTCACCATAAAATGGAACTTTCATTCTCATTTCATTATCTTTTCCCACTAGGTTCAGTATTCCATCCACTGATATCATTAAAAGTTCTCTGTGCTGTATGTAAACCTATCACAGATTAATAAAAAAGCAAGAGAGACAAGCAAGAGTTATTGGTGGCACTCAGGGTGAGATTTGAAATAGTGGTGCTTGAAAAAGGCAGGACTGAAGAGCAACTCTGGGGAACTGAATAGAGAAATCAGAATCTATTTGTATTCTAGACCCTGGCACTGTCATACTCATCTTGTTCCAAGACTTCAGTCTTGTCCTCTTGAACATATTAGGTCACTGTTGGGGACTGTGTCTGTCAAGAGCTACGGCTGCTGAGGACTCAGCTCTGTTCCCTGAGGTGCCAGTGTGAAAAGGCTGCACTCAGCAACTCAACCATGCTGTATGCAAGAAGATCAATAATGACCATGGAAGAGAAACAGACATTTGAATGAAAAGAGGAAGTCTAGCTTTCAATTCAGCAACAAAGGATATGAGGCTCGAAAAATTTTGAATGGAAAACATTTAAAAAGTCTGTAAAATATTGAAACATTTTTATATTTCTAAAGCTTTGTGGAGGTTTAGAAATTAAGAACTTAGTTTTTGGAGTAAGAATTAAGTCCTCTTTCTACTACATACTGCCATTTTTTATTTTAAATGTGTTATTTTATTTTTTAGAGTCTGTTAACATATATATATATATATATATTGCACACATGAAGAAGCCTTGACCTAGCTTTTGTACATATGAATATGTAATATGTAATCTCATTTCCCCTCATTATAAAATGAAGCACAGTATGGAAAATTTCTAGGAACAGCAAATATCTCTATGAAGCCAGGTGTACAATTTTAAAACTCAATGAGGATACTTATTTTCTGACTTTTTACTTCAGAAAGAGGAATGCAAAGTCAAGGAGCCCAAATGAATTGTATTTGGATGAAACTGGGGCTCAATTCCCAGTGACTTGCTGGAAGATGCCTTAAGGTCTTTGGCTCTGCACGACTTGTGAAACAAAACTGGATGTTCAGGATCTGGTTGTCCTTGCTTTGTGTGGCTGCCAAATGGGTGTGCCCTTCAAAACACAAATAGAGAGAACAGTTGACATTCTGACTTAACAAGTAGACTGAAGACTTTCTACCTTTTTGTTAAAATGTTAGTGCTTCTGTACTCTGAAGGAGAGAATTTGCAATAAAATCAGTTGTCATACAGTATTCAGGAAAAGAAAAAATCAACCAAAAGTTGTTTTCCATCTTTATCCTGTAAGTAAAATTGAAAATATATTAAAGATAAAAATTAAAAAAAAATCAAGATACTGAAGCAAAGACACAGCAAGAAGGGTGAGAATGGAATGCATGAAGAACAATCTTAAGGTTGATTAAGAGACATCACTTTCACTATGACCTGGATATTTGGCAGAAGGGAGAGACACTGCAGTCACATCCATCTCATGATTGGAGGAGAGCAAGCTGACCCAAGGAGATGAAATAATGTGCCTAAATTTGATTTCGATCATTAGGTGCACCAGAACATTCTATTTAATTTATTTATTTTTATGTAGGACATAGTAAACCTAAGCACAAGATTTGTGTTTACAAAATGGATATTTTCTTAATCCAAGTAATGTGCATAGAAATTAAAATTAATAAAGGACATACTCATCTACTATTTCTTCTGAAGATTTTAATATCTAATGAGGTTTATCAGGCTTTTTTTTAATTTTAGAAATGAAAGTATATAGACAAATGTGCCAAATTAATTAAGACCAAAAAAAAAAAAAAAACCCCAAAGAAAGAGAACATATTGAATCCAATGGGCTTCAAGGAATGGAAGGCAACAACAATTAAAGTTTTTGGAAAGCCTAAGCCTCTTGAAAGTCACATCAGTGTTGGGGAGCTGAGACTGAGGTCGAGGGGATCTTAGGTGTTCAGTTACTGGAGCATCATTTTCTTCATCTTTTTATATTGTGTGTTGACTTAGTACTGTTCGCTTTCTTTGTAAAGACTTCATCATGCTCATCACCCCTCCTCCAGGGACTCCTTGTTGCCCTTTCTCAAGGCAATCCCCAGGCCCTCCCATAATTACCCATCATTTACCTACATGCTCTTAAGGTACACTGAGCTCAGTGATAGCCCAGATGATGAGCTTCCCAATGACAGTACTAATGAACGCATGACTAGCATGAGTTAAATATTCATTAAAGGAGTATATAAAAACAGTGATAAATGGTATGAAATGGTGTTAAAGACATTGCTAAGAGAAATATAGGATGTCTATTGATCATCAGTCAATTACCTTTAATTGTGTATATATTTAAAAGCATAATGTTATTACTTACTTATACACATGTGTAAGTCTCTCTGTGTATGCAAGCAGGTGTTCATGGAGGATAGAGACTTGGTTGCCCTGGAGCTGAAGTTAGTCACTTTTTAAAGCTCCTACATGGGAGCTGGGAACCAAGCACAGGTTCTTTGAAAAGTAGTAATCATTCATAAATTCCTAATGTGTCTGTCTAGCCTCATTAGTCTGTATATCTTTATTTAGGAAATAAGCAGAAGTTTGGTCAAATTTTCTGAGCTGGAGAACAGACCTTGCTGTGGATCACTTAATTATCAAGTGATGACTTGCTTTTGATTAAACAAGACAATTACCATAGAACTAAAACATCTCAACTACCCATTAAGTGCTACCCATAAGTTTGAAGTTGTGGTCATTTAAATAGACGTTCCTTATCAAAACTTACTTATTTATTTATTTACAGCTCCATATTGAACCATTCCTCATGGATCATGACAGCATCTAGAGTTCATTCAGAAATCTCTCTGTTCAGAACTTTTTTTAGTATATAGTCAAAAAAAGAATCTTGCCATTATACTCAGGAACTATGACATTTCTCTAGTGTTTAAAATTAAAAACAGAGAAATGAGGCTTAAGGAGGCTGGGCTACTTTTGATGGAGCTACAGACAGCAGGTGTCCATGGTAAAGGTTGGATTTGTACTATCATGATCTTTTATTCCTCTGGTTGCCTCATTTACTTTATTCTTCCACACTGAAACCCAGGTTGGTACTGCAAGAATTTTGGACATGGGCACAAATGAAGGCAAATGTAGAGTAGCTGTCTGAATGAAGACAAGTATTTAGGCACTTGAAACGAGAGGAAATCTTTTCCCTGAGAAGAAGATGGAGACAGGAACACACTGGTCGGTGTTTTTAGAAGCTTATCTGGCTTTGAGAGCAAGGCAGGATTATGTGTCTTGGGCATATCTTCATTACAAAGCCCAAGTCTTATTTTTATCTTTAAAAGCTCATGAAAGAGTAGGCTATGTTCTGGGATAATGTAATAGTGAGCTCACATTGGCAACACCCAAATTATGAAATGGAACCAGTGATAAAAAGAACTTTCCCAGCCTAGATGGAAACAGAAATTGGGACAGACCATAATTCTGGAGGTGTACATAAGAGACATCAACTAACCAAGACGGAAGTGTTTTGTTTTAGAATGCATCAAGGCTTAATCATTAGTCTCATCTGCTTCCTCCTATGACATTTTATTCTCTCCAGTAGTGATATATGGCTTAGATATAGGACATAAAATCTTGGCATGAGGCTCAAGTTCTTGTCTTTTCCCCTTTCCTTATGACTATGGACATATCTACAATGTTCCCAAGTCTTCATTTCACCACTTGTGAAACTTAAGATAATAATGCTTGTCTTTCACAGAGCCTATTCATTAGTCATATATCCAGCACTTAAAATGGAGCAGGGACTCAGTTCAAGGTTCTGGTATTACCTTGTCATCACTAAAATGTTGTTTTTTATATTTCAACATAAGTTCTCAGAACATTACTGAGTAAAAAGAGTGGGTGCTCTGGGTATTCTAACCATAAAAGAAATGTGTGTGACAGAGAATTTAAATTGTTAGTGCTTCCTCCATATGTTAAGATCAGCAAATTCTGCTCTTAGTCATAGCTAGTCCTATGCTTACTGACTAACTGCATGAGCTAAGGCCTGGCCCTTAGATTTTGTTAAGTATGTGCTGTCCTCTTATTTTACAGATGGACTTGTACAAACAAGCTAGAGTTTGGATGTGGAATGCTCTCCCAAAGGTCTAGATGTAAAAGACTTGGTCTGTAGCTGAGTGATATTTGTGATGGTTAAAAAGATTAAAGGGTGGGGGCCAGTGGAAAGTCTTCACCCTTGAAGGTGTTACTGGAAAGTGATTATGGGATTCTAGTTTGTTCCTCTTTCTCTTCATGGACATGAGCTGAGGGGTCCACAGGCCCCAGCTATGATGCACTGAGGAGATCACCAGCATCTGCTACGGTGGGCTGCCTCACTATTGGCCCAAAGTAATGAAACCAGTGCATTTGAGATCGCAATCATGAAAAATGATTTCTTTTCAAAACCTGATTATGTCAGGTATTTGCCAAAGGGACAGAAACCCAGCAGCAGGTTGCTAAGAGAATTTAGCAACCACCTGGCCTAGTCACCCCTTGAACCACACTTACTTGGTTCCTCCTTTAAGAGTATACTGGGATGTTGGCATATAAGATGATAACAATAGAAGGACTTCAATGTTATTTTAGAAACAAACTGCAATTAGAATAAAGAAGGAACCAAAACCTTACATGTCTGGTTATATTTACAAATGAGTTCCCAAAATCAAAAGAATACAATTATACAAACCCTTGTTTTCTGTGTCTACTATGGTATTTTACTTGTAAAGTTTAAGTTAAAATCACCTTAAGATGTCACTTTTGAAGGTTGTTCTCCAGGGTCGCCTTCAAATTCCATAAAACTTCTTGAGAAAGAAAAGAGAGGACAGGAGTTAGTTAGACTTCGGGTAATTTTGTATGACCACACCTAACACACTGTCCCATTTTTCTTTACTTTCTTAAATTTATTTTTAAATTAAAATGTTTTATTTTGATGATTTTTTTAAATGGAGTCTCACTTGTTCCCTAAGCTAGTGTCATAGTTTTGATCCTCCAGACTCAACCTCTCAAGTAGTCTGGGTTACAGGCCTGTGCTGCTGTGCTCAAAACTAAGCCTGCTCATTAGAGCTGAGGCATAATTTTCTTCTCCAGATTTTTCTACATATCAGTGAAGTAAGACTCAAGATTTTAACAATGCTTTGTAGTTCTCACTCAAAATGGCTCAAGAATAACCTATCTCTTATTACCTTTAGGATGAGAGCTGTTGTTTTGTATTGTCAATACAAAGTATTATGAATGCCAAGTTGCAAAACAAAATAAAACGAAGAAAATAAGCCAACAAAAAACTGGATTGTAATTGTAAGAGTCTATAACTTCTTTCTGGAGCTTGTTTTTTTCATTGGGTTTTAGAACATGATTAGGTTTGATGAATAAATAAAAAATTATGAATATCAGACTAAATACTGTTGGCAGAGGAAGAAAAAGCTCACACAAAGACATTGAGGGTTCATACAAATATCATCTGTGGTTCAAGCCTAGGTGTCTGGTGAGAGGGATGGTAGATATAACAGAAAGTACAAGGACATCAAGAATGGACCTTTGCCATCAGGCCTAGGCATGTGCTCTGCTGTGTAGGCAGTGAAAATTTATGAAAGAATTTCAGGAATGATAACAAATGAGCAAATTTTTGGAGATTTTTTGATGATAGTGAGCAGATTTGTACACACGCAAACATATAACAAATACACACATGTGGTGTGCGTGTTCAGCTGTTTGCATTTGAATGTATGTGGTTTTAGAACAATGGGGAAGTCAGTTCCCATTGCTTTAATAAACCTTAAATGCAAATGGAGAGAGAAACTATGTTTATTCAGTTTCTTCAGAAAATATATGTATGTAGTACATGTTATGTACCTTACACACTATTTAGGCATCTGATATGTTGGGATATATAAAGCATATTTTTCACATTGAACAGTCCCTTTGAATCGAATCTCACTCTGTCCTTCAAGACCCATGATATAGTTCACTTTGAGCACAAACATTTCGCTACGGCTATTATCGCCTACTCTGGAAGTTGACTTTAATATTCTTATAGAATTTATCTTGCTAGTCATTTGTAGTTGATATTGCATAAGCTCATGTTATCTAACCTTGAAGATTGAAGATCTGTTGAGAAGCAATTTATGTTCTATATCTTGTTCTTAACAATTTTCACACCAACTTTTCACATACTTAGAACTTAGCAATGCATTTTTTGGAAGCTTCTTCTCATTTTGCACCTCAAGGCACTTTGTAAATAGACTCTGCAATGTTTTACGACCTGACTCTACTCTCATCAAGATTTATTCTCATGCACAAGGAATGCTTTGCCTTTAAACAAAGACTCTTCAAGTTTCTAATATTCAGTTTGTAATACATGGACTTCAGGTATAATCTCTAAGATACATACTAACTATCTAATACCATGGAAAAGATGCCAAAGTATTGCTAGATAGACTTATCTGGTTTCCTTTATCATTAAACTTCGTTATTAAAAACAATTTTATAATGCTGTAAGGTATTTTACACTATCTCAAAGCAAAGTGACAGAGGACAGTGAGTAAGGAAGGGGAGAATAGTAACAAGAGGATGATAGAATGGTTTATGAAGGAGGAGCTTAATGATAAGCTACAGGTACAAGCCGTGACCATGAGCAATACATAGAATAATTCAGGTAGAAGGTATCACTTAAGCAACACTAAAGCCTGAAATCATCCAAAGCTCTAGTAGCACAAAGCAGGAATCATCTCTCAATCTGATACATATAGACAGCAAGGTAACATTTCTGAGCTCAGAACTTACAGGTCTCAAATGGAGCAGATAGCTAACTTACAATAGTATATTTTACATTTTGTATAAGGGGACTTCCCTAGTGAAAGAGAACAAAGGAGTAATTATTCTGCCTCCTTGCTTTGGTATGTTTTCTATGTGACATTATTAGCTATTTTTAATTTGCATATATTGAATATTTTATTTATTATTTTTCTTGTTACTTTCCTTTTTGCTTCTGTTAATTATCATGAGGAGGCACAGATGCAAGTAAAACTTCCACAAAAGTAAATGTAATAATAAAATTAAATTATCATTGAGTTTTAACAAGGTGTGGAGAAAAATCACACTCAGAACACCATACAACCAAGTAGATTGATTTAAGCATATCAAAGATTACTAGACATGCCTCAACTACTTCTTTATAATGGATACTCATTTATTGTTTGTTGAGTATAAGAAGCCATGGATATCCCAGGAAAACATGATAATTCATATTTAAATAAAGTATGAACATAATTTTGAGGCTTTGTAGAATTTTAGGGCCCAGCTATGTAGTTTAGCACCTGGTTAGGGGTGGCTTTCCTATCAGAATTAAGCAGAAGGCTTGTTTAAAACTGCACCTTTAGCCTAGTTTTTTGGTATATATGCTTTGGAATGTAGGAAGGCCAATTCAAACAATTCTCCACTGTATCTTGAAGATGGTAGATAATAAGTCAGAGTTTTCTCCAACTCTACTTAGGTGTCTATGTAAACACAAATTAAAGAACAACAGCTTTCAGGGACACAGACTGAAAGAAGTATGAAATATAAGGAGAGGTCATGTGAAATCCAAGCTATGTGAAATCCAAAGGAGTACTAGAAAGCAGGCTGAGAACATGAGAAGTACTCTGGGCTGGATCATTCTTCATGGTGACCAACACACTGATCATGAGAGTCCTGTAGCTCATGTCTAATGAGAGATTATCAGCTACTGTTTCTAGCCTCCATGAGCTACTAAAAACCAAACACAGCACTCCTAACATTCATCATAAGAAACAAAACTTGTCTTCTGTGTTTTTGTTCTGAATCTTTCTGTCTTCTTATTATGGCCTGGAGATTTTAAAGCATTATGATAAAGAACGTCAATGAAGCAATCTCAGACCAGTAAAATATAGGGCAATTCATTAACATGTAAAATATTAATTAAGGTAGTGCGTCTTTTTTTCCCAACAAAACGTAATGAATATGCTTGTTCCCTTTTACTGATTTTCAGGAGTGTGATCGTTATCTACAATGAAACTAGCAAAAGAAATGTTTGTCTCAGAGCTTACGATCCCCTGGACATGGAGCGAAGGATGAAATCCACTGCATTCTCAATGATCTCAGAACCCAGGATGCTTAAGAATTTGGGGAATCCTGGCTCTGGATTTTTACTAGAGTCATCAGGCTTGTTGTCTGGTTTCTCATCTGGGTTGTCATCTGTAAACAAAAAATAAACAGAAAAGAATGTCAGATGTGATTCTTAGCCACACACAAAGAAAGAAAGAAAGAAAGAAAGAAAGAAAGAAAGAAAGAAAGAAAGAAAGAAAGAAACAAAGAAAGGCAGAAAGAAGAAAAGAAAAAAGAAAAAAAAGGAAAACCTATTTCTCACATAGGAGCCCTTGAGCTCCTTGGTATCCACTGGTACCAAGTTATGTAATTAGCTACATTTTCCAGTCTTTACAGCAGTATCTCATTTAACTCTAATCTCAAAAGTTTCTGATTCCAAGTTAGTTTTGGGACTTGGCATGTCCTGTATACAGTCAGCTTATTCGGGTGAGGTGTTAAAGAAAACTGACTTTTCTCAGTAGCCATAAAGTACTATGAGTTCCTCAGCTAGTGTTGGGTTCAATGTCAGACTCCCTCCTTCTATGCTGAGATTTTACTTTACAGGGCTTGTGAAGCTCTTGTGCATGCTGTCACAACTCTTGTGAGTTTACACTTCACTGCTGTGTCTGAAAAACAATGTTTTATGATGTCATCAACTGCTTCTAGCTTTTACAAACTTTGCAACTCCTCCTGAATCTTCCCTGAATCTTAGGGAATAATCATGTGATATGAATGTCCAATTTGGGGGAAGACACTCCACTGTCTGGATCTCTCCATGTTGACAAGTCAGAGGGTGTTTCTGTGTTAACTGCCATCTGCTACAAGTAGAGGCTTCTCTGATGAGGACAGAGAGATGCTCTTATCTACAGAGACAACATTAGTCCAGGTAAAAAAATTAGCTAATGTAGCTAATGTCAGGGCCAGACTTAAGATACAGAAAACATAGTTCTTCACTGTCGTATAGGTCACTAGTGTTGCCATGTGATTCTTGTTTCAATAGTAATGGAAATACGGCAAATAAAATCTTCATGGGTAGTTTCCCTGAACATATATATACCCCTGACAGAAAGTTCACATATATTGTGTTCCTCTAAGATCACAATTCTGTGAGGTATAAAAATTACTAAGCCAATTTAAAGTTGAAAAAATGAAGTTAGAGATTTCAAAGCTGCTTCTCAGAGAAAAATTTATCAGGTTACAAAAATATAATCAAATACCAAATTCGTCTGATATCAAAATCTAGGGGTTTTTTTTTACAGTATTTTGTAATAAATTGTGCTCTTTACAGGAAATGTATGCAATCTGTACTTTTCATGAGAGTGAACAGAAAATAAATGATCATTTTTGTCATTTTATATTATTTATGTAATTTATAAATAATGATTTTACAAATGCTGTGCAACTTTTCTCCCTGGGTAATGGCTTAAGATATGAAATTTTTAGCTTATTGGATGCAGAAATTGAAATGTTTAAGGGCCAGAAGGCTGTGCAAAAGCAAGAGAAAGCAGCAACCCAAAGGGTATCTATAGGATTCTTTCACCCAGTCCTTCTCCAGCCATTATGGAGGATGCGCGTGTGTCCCTTGCGTGTTAATGGTCGTCATATTTATGAGATGAAAAGACCTTGAAGAGTGGCATAAACTACAGTGTGTTGCCTTCTCTCTGAAACCTGACAATAGGATAAGGTAGGACCTTTTCTTTTTCATTGTACCTATAGAACTACAGTATAGCCAGACTCTACATAAACTATACTTGATGTTTTGTTCATTTTTAAATAGTTAAATATCAAATTATTTTTAGGATAAGACTGATAAATGTGATATATGATGGAATTACATTAACAATAATTCATTGATTATTTGAAAATTCAAATTTATAAGTAAATCAGTTTCAATCTTGTTTTCACTGAAGTAGCTACAAGTATCAGAAAAAATTAAATTTTAGAAAAGTCCATTTAACTGGTGTGATCTCTTTTGTTTAAAACCCAAAGAATTTATCTTGCCCTCATTCTAGAAGTTTATAAAATTCAAGATCAATATTAAACATTGTTTGTATAAAAAACAACTTTTTGTTCACGCAAAAGTGTCTTGTATCTATCCTGCATGTCCACTACAAGGTTTGATTCATAAAGTCTCAACTCCTTAACACTTTAGCCATAGCCTCAGTTGAAGGATGCGTAGTCACCCCTTTTCTGGGGTGGGCAAGTGATGAAAAATGTGCAATCTGTGTTATATTCAAAAATAGAAACTATTAGCAAAAATGACATTAGATTTTGTAATTATTTATTATTTACTATGGCATAATAAAATATTTGACAGACTCTTTAGTCTGTCAAAATTAATCAGTTATTCATACAGCAATAACTTTTTTCATTTAGAACACATTTTGCTTTGGTTTCATTTCTTTTGGAGTAGAGTACATACAGTATATAAGTCTTTTTACTTAAGACTTAAAATAAAGATGGTAACTCTCACATAGATGTCTGTGACCAAAGTGCCCAGAATGGATTTATTTTCACGGTGAGAAGAAGCAGCAGATTCCTTTTGAGGAGTTTCTGCCATCTATGCAGTGCTGTGTTAGTATATCCTCACAGACCTATATCCTTATCCTACTCCAAGATGGAGCCACAGTTTCCAGAGGAGAACTGAGATGCTCTGGGAAATTAAACAATTCACCTAACTTCACTCAGGAAAAAGTGACTGAGCCACTGTATGAATTGTATCTAACTTCAGGACACGTGGTCTTCATGTTGTATTGGATTGCCTCATAGAAATGTTCTCCAAGGATACCAGCACAAAATAAGAGCACCTCACTTTAAATACAATAAAAGTTTTACTCACCCTTAATCTATGCTAAATACTAGCTTTTCAACATCCAGGGAGCCAGAGCTTAGAATATGGAAAGCTGGGAATTAGTCTCAGTTTTTGGGCCACATGCATATTCATCAGTATTAGTGTGTGTTGTGCAATACAGTTTAAGGTTATCTTTCTTTTTGCTTTCAGCAAAGTATTGGTCATGTACTTTCAGAAAATACACTTAACAACTGTCTTTTAGTTTCTTCATTGGAATATTGTTAGGATGTTTTCATCCTAGCAATATAT